TTACAGAAAATTCAATTATCTTTCAATTCCACTTTCCCATGAACTTTCTAAAGCCCTGTGTGTATGTGTGTGCGTTGGTCATTATGTAAGAAATTCTAATTGTGGATCAGACTAAAGACAAAAGAGTAAGCACTGATCTAATAGAAAAGTCAATTAATATATTAACTTTGGTGAAGAGGAAAGCAAAATAAATTTTTAAATCTCTATGGAGCCCAGTTCTACTCTGACACACATGGGGTTGCCATGAGGCAGAGTTGGTGGACAAAAAGTAACAGTGAAAAGGTGGCAGGATTAAGATCCCAGCACAGTTGCGGTTGAAGGGTTTTTGGAGTTGCAAATCTAGTAGGAAGTGGAGAGTGGAGGATGGGATGTTAGATGCTGAGATTATGTACAGATTAAGACAAAACGAAACAGTAAAATTCTTTATTTGAACAACTATGTATTTAGAATACAAATTATGTCCCACACACCTAACATACAGGAAAAAAAAAAGCAAACATTGATCTAACAGGTCAAGGTTAAATTTAGAAAACTACTTTCAAATTCCAAGGTACCAAGGTAGCACAGTGGTTAAGTGCTCAACTGCTAACAAAAAGGCTGGTGGGTCCAACCCACCAGTAGCACTGGGAGAAATATGTGGCAGTAGGCTTAAGCAATGCTACATCGATTCACAGCGCCTTGGAAACCTTAAAGGGAAGTCTACTCTGGACTCCACGGCACATAACAACAACGACACCACTCTGGACTGCAAAGTCATTTGAACTGTGAGGTCAGCAGTTCAAGCTCACCAGCTGCTCCTCAGAAACCCTATACAGGGTCTATGCGTCAGAACTGACCTACCCGCAATTAACTACTGTGTCTTAAAGAGTGGCTATGTGTAGAATGACTTTACCACAGGGGGTATGGTTTTCAAACAACACGGCTGCTATTTTGCATTTCAATGTCTTCATCTGTAAAATGGGAATAACTGATCATTTGTTGTTGTTGTTAGGTGGCATCGAGTCAGTATCAGTACCGACTCATAGTGACCCTATGCACAACAGAATGAAACACTGCCTGATCCTGGGCCAACCTCACTAATTGCTCATAGGGCTGGTAAAAATACAAAATAAGATAATACAGGAGGGTAAATCAAAAAGCATTTCTACAAAATCACAGAAACCTTAAACAAACATGAAAATGTGAAACTATTGTTTCTCCACAGACCGTCCTCCATCTAGGTCTATACACTTCTGAGAGTGCTGGCACTACAGGATAAGCACTGGACTGCTAATCGTAAGGTTGGTTGTTCAAACCCCCCCAATACCTCCTTAGAAACTACACAGAAGATTGCTATGAGTCAGAATTGACTCGACAGCATTTAACAACAAACTGTACACTTAAAAGAGATTTATATGACTCATTTTATTCCAATATTTACTTTACTGGGATGACCTGGAGCAGAACCCAAAACAATCCTGAGGTATGCCTGTAATATGAGCTACTACAAGGCCCATCCTTGGACCATAATATGATTCCTTTTCCTAAAAGCGAAGCTTTTTTAAAGCCAGAAGCTTCATTAACAGCCTCATGCAATGAAAGAACTGACTACTCTAGGGGGAAGTTCAGTTATTGAGCAACTATTTTCTCAGTATTCTCAATGGCCAAACACATGAAATACAACAGGCAGTCACATGGTCCCTGTCCTTTAAGAGTTTGTAATCTAGGTAAGCAAAGCATGAGCAACAGTCACATATAAATTACAGTCTGACATCACTTCCCAAGTTGGCAGCAAACAAGTCAGAGAGGGAGAAATTATCCCACACAGATATGACCTTTGCTAACATCACGTATATTAGCAAAATTAAGTGTATGGTAAAGAAAATGTCTAACTATACACTAAGTAATTCTGTTATAATTTTCCATAGAAATTTCCCATAATTGGCAAAAAGAAAAACTGATGAGAAAAGAATCACATTGAAATAACAATGATTTTTTAATGAGTACAACAAAGATGATCAGTCACTGCTAGAAATAGGTTGTGATACATGATGTTTTATTTATGACTTAGGCAATTACTTAATTTCTGTTTATTCATCTGTATAAGTAAGAGGCTGTTCTTATAAATTCCAAGGATATTCTGATTATGCAGGATTCTACATCTAAGTGTATTGTAGTAAATAAGTCCTCAATATGATGAATTTGAAAAAACTTGCATATACTACTTGAATTTTCACAGACACTGGTTGAATCATAGCACTGGAAACTAGTTCTCATGTTGAATCAAGTGGACAATAATTTGAATACCTGCTGACATAAAAGAACGTGAGTCTTCAGAAACCTCAGTCTTCTAAAATTCTGGGTGACAACAATTCAGGGGCCTGTCGTCAGTACTTAGCAACAGAGTTAAAGTTGATCAAGTAAATGTTAATCTCTCTTCTATCGTCATATTCCTCTTCATATTCCAATAAACAGGTCTGGCAGAAGTCAGATCTTTTAACTCTGACATGGTTTAAGAATTCAAGGTGGTCCACATCAATTTTATGGTTAAATTATGGAATTATGTAGCCTGCTTAACAGGGATCTTTTTAAAATTCTCCTTCTAGGAAAATATTCTTGCCATCTTTGAACCATTTCTCCATCTACAGCTGGAACTCAGTGTCAGTCTTCTCATAATCTACCACACACTTGTACAACATTTAGCTTTGGTGCTGTGGCTTAATGCGCTGGACTGCAAGGTCGGTTTGAATTGCAAGGCCAGAGGTTCAAGTTCACCAGTCGCTCCTTGGAAACCCTACACAGGGTCACTACTCCTTTTCGTAAATGAGAAGCTCTTTTAAAGCCACAAGTTTCATTCGATCAGTCTCAGGTGATGAAAGAACTGACCGCTCTAGAAAGAAGTTCAGTTATTCAGCAACTATTTTCTCAGCAATTCTTAAGGGCCAAACACATGATATACAACAGGCAGTCACGTGGTCCCTGTCCTTTAAGAGTCTGTAATCTAGGTAAACAAAGCATGAGTTGGAATTGACTCGATGGCACTTAATAACAACAGCATAATGTAACGTGGGGTCCTGGTGAGGCACTGAAGGATATAAGTGCTCCACTACCAGCTTGGTTTGAACGGCAATGTTAGTGGTTCAAACTCACCAGTCACTGTTCGGAAACCCTATACAGGGTCAATATGTTGGAACTAACTCTCGGCACTTAAAAACAATACTGTGACCTGGAGTCCTGGTGTGGCGCTATAAGATTGCTTGATTGCAAGTTTGGTTTGACCTGAAAGGTCAGTACTTCAAATTCATCAGCTGCTCCTCAGATATCCTGTACAGTGACTGAGAGTCAGAACCAACTCAAAGGCACCTAACAACATACTACAACCTGCACTCGAACAAAGGGAAGCCAGGTGGAAATGAACCAAGGGTTATTTTGCAAAGACACTTGGACTTTGAAGCAGTTTGTAAACTAATTATTTTTAATAATGTGAATTTTCAGTATGAAACTGTCACCTTAAAAACAAAAACTGCAAGAAACTTCCCTGATGTCTAAATACTTACAACTCTTGTCCAATGTTTTCTTAAGTGTACAACAACTTTTATCAATAGTGGGAGAGCGTTTGAAAGGGCTGCTCAAAGTTACTAACCACATAACCTAGCACCAGTCATTTGTGATAAACAGCTTTAGGTCTTAAAATTTCAGGTTTAAAGCTCAACAAGTCCTTTATTTTGCTGGTGAGATTTCAAATTAAGGCCTTACAGTTTAGTTATAATACTAGTTAATTCTTACTGTACTGTGTGCCAATTGTACCAGGTTCTATTCTAAGGACTTTACACCTATTTACTTCTTTAAGCCTTACAACAAGTTTAATAGAAACCTGAAACGTAGTGAGGTCAAATAACATGTCCAAGGTCATACAGCCAGTGAGTGGAAACCCAGAATTCAAATCCAAGTATTCTGACTCCAGAATCTGTGCTTTCAAAACTGTGGGTTCCACTTCTGTCAGGAGTTGAACCCACACCTAGCTCTTCCAAGACACTAGAGTTCAGAGTTCCAATCAGAGAAAATATATATATTTTTTCCACTCCCAAACCTACGGAGTCCCAGTGAGGGACTGGATAAGCACTAGACTGCTAACAGCAAGGTCGGCGGTTCAAACCCACCAGCCACTTCTTGGAAGTCCTATACAGGGTCGCTATGAGTCAGAACTGACCGACAGCATTGACAAGCCCTAAGAATATGAAAACCTCTGTGACTTCTGTCTGCAACCTTTAAGCAATCTGACCTTTCTGTAACAGCATCCAAAATGGGTATGGGACCCAAAGCTGCAGCGGCCTCTCTGTGTGTTTTAATTGCAACACTTGAAATGAGTAAAAACATTGTAATAAAAGAATGACCTATTAACACATTTTTTTTCTTTCTTTTTTCTAGAAAGGCAAACATCTCTCCTACTTTCATGATGCCTAAATAAGTTAAAAACAAGGGTAACCCCCTTCCCCCAACTAATGCCATCTGAATGTTTGCTAGAAATGGGTGAAGAGAAAAAGACGGGGGGCAAAGCGAGATACATTCCAAATCTCCAAGCGAGGAGGCTCAGACTCAGGACCCCCATTAGAAATTAACACCAGTATTACACACTATTTCTGCCCGAGCCGTTTGCTCTCCAGGTGGCAAGGAGACGGCTACGTGGCGGCTGGAGGCATGCCCCTGGCCTGTCTCGAAGGTGGCGGCCTCAGCTGGTGACCTGCCCTCGCCCGGGGCCCTGCGGCAGAGAGCGCCCAGAGGCGGAGGAAAGTGCAACAAGGGAGCTTCCCGATGGTCTCCGAAAGGAGGGGAAAGGGACAAAGTCTGGGGCGACTTGCCCCGACTCGCTGAGAGCCACTGTCTGCTTGTTGCCTCTCTGCCTCTGGGGCCGTCAGTGCCAAACCCGCCTCCAGGCCTCGAGGGTCAGCCCGCACCGGATCGTACTCCTGAGGCAAAGGTGCCGAAGGACGGACGTGATCATCTGTGGGTCACTCACTCACCAGGTTGAGGGGTCCTTCCATTACTTCCATAGACCCCGGGGTAAGCGGAGGCCCGAGGAAGGGGTGCGGCAGCGCCCGGGTTCATGGAGGGGAGCAGCACGGGAGAGCGACGCAGCAGCGGTGCAGTCCCTCTCTGCGCCCCGGGAGCCAGCGGTGGGCGCAGAGGGAGCAACAACCGCACCACTTCCTCCTCCGGCGCCTCGCTGCGGGCCGGCCCCCTGCGCCGCACCGCGGCCACGCACGGCGTCGTGGCGTCACACGCGCGGGTACACGGAGGGAGTGAGGACGAGAAGTGGGTGGGATTCAAGGAAGGCGGGGCTCCGACTGACATACTTTTTCGTGATCGAACTTTCCTCTCGCGAGAGGCGTATCTTAAGCTTTTAGAAATCTATTTTGATGTCCTGCTGCGGCGCTGTAGGTTAATGCGATGGATTGCAGGGTCTTTTGGAACCAAAAAGTCCGTGGTTCAAACTCACCAGTCGCCCCTCAGAAACCCTGTACAGGGTTGCTTTGGGTTGGAACCGACTCGACGGCACTTCACAACAGTCTGATGTCACGTGAGCGAATGCAGGCATATTGGTAACTTAAATAGGTGGCTGTTGCTTTCTTTTCTTTCCTCCCAGACTGACCTTTTTCTGCATCCATTCTCTTGATCTGCCATTGCCACCTTTACCCCATTTGTATTTGATTAATTAAAACAACAACAACAAACCTGATTGGAGTAATTCTAGACTGGAGAACACAAGCTTGAATAATTCAAGACTTTGCTCTCAAGTTGCTCACAAACTAATAAAGGAAATAGTACTTGATTTGTTTGACAATTAGGGGCCAAACCACGCAGCTCCTTTCTGGTATGGAATTCACTTAACAATAAACAAATAATAATTGTAACTTATGCCCTGAGAAACCACTTCAGTTTTCCTAGAATCCAGATTTCAGTAGTCTTTGGAGTTGGGGTGACTCAGCCATGTCACTTCCCCTTAGATATCCTTTCAACATGGAGCCTTAGAAGAAACTTGTTTCTAAAAGTCATCTTTGAATTGAGTTGAACAGTGGTCTAGAAACACCATTTTACTTAGGCATTACAGTCTTTGAAGAACTCGTTCAGTTTTGGGAAACAGTCTAAAAGTCAAACTAGACTGTTTTAGGGTAAATTAGTAATAATTTTAATTTTGCTTTAAGACAATGCTATGTGACATCCTTTCTGGCCACCAGTTGTTGATTCTGTAACAATTTTCCATGGCAATGCCAATTAAGATTAGGTATCTATGGACATTCTCTCAGCTTCAGAACATTTTTCACTCTTTGATAGCACATAAACAAAAGGTTGGTGACTTACTCGCCAGTTGTGCCATGGGGAAAAGATGTCAGTGAGCTTCCTGTGAATATCTCAGCCCAGAAAATGCTTTGGTGTAGTTCTACTCTATCTGTTAGAATCTGAGACAGAACCAGCAGTGGGTTGGTTTATTTGTTCCCAATTTGAAAATCATATATTCAGTACACTCTAATCGGTTTCTATTATTGACTTACATTTTTAACATAAATGATTTAGGTTTTAACAGCTCTAAAGAGAAGAGATAGGGAGCAGACATGAAAATTTTCATTTAGAAAGTTCAGCATGAGGCTTGTCCCTGCAATGTGGAGGTTAAAGATATCCCAAATGTGTGACTGTTCCAAAATATTATAACATTCCATAATTCATCAGTCACCATTCCTCCACTGCCTTGTGTCCCAGGATTATACAATACACTGTATATGTCTCACAGAATTCAAGATGGTTAAGAAAATGACTCACGCAATTATGGAGACAGGCATGTTCCAAGTCCATAGCTCATAGGTCGCTCTGGAGGAGTCTCATTATCCACATAGTCTCAGGAGCCAAGGAACCCAAAATAGCAGGTCTGCTGTTGAAGCAGTAGAGTGTGGAAGCTGGTTGCTCAGGTCAGCTGATAAACCACAAATCCCACAAACTAGAGAGTCAGATGGCCTGAACCAGATGCAAGTTCCAGAGTAAGAGCATGAACTTCCCCAAAGCATTCCCTGCATATTGAACTCAGACCATGCCTCTAAGGAAAACCAAGGATGGTGACTTTAGCCACACCCTCAACCAATGTGGGGATGTCCTTAATCCTTGGTTCCATTTTAACCCTTACTTCTTAGCCCCACCTTAATCCATCTGGCTGCATTTCTTACAAGCAAACTCTTACTCCTTATTGTTGTTAGGGGCCATCATGTTGATTCCATCTCACAGGAGCCCTCTGCACAACAGAACGAAACACTGCCTGATCCTGCACTATCCTCACAATTACAGTTACATTGGGTTCCAGCGCTGTTGCCACTGTGTCTGTCCATTTCATTGGGAGTCTCCCTCTTTTACTCAGACCTTCCATTTTATCAAGCATGGTGTCCTTCTCCATAAACTGGTCCCTCCTGGTAACATGTCCTAAGTATGAGACACGAAGTCTGACCATCCTCACTTCTAAAGAGCATTCTCGCTGTACTTCCAACACAGATTTATTTGTTCTTCTGGCAAGCCTTGGTACTTTTAATATTCTTGTTGTCGTTGTTGTTGTCAGGTGCCATCAAGTTGGAACCGACTCATAGCGACCCCATGCACAGCAGAACAAAACAATGTCCGATCCTGGGCCAACCTCACTACCGCTGCCACACCTGACGCCATCAATGATGCCACCTGGCCAATCCATCTCGTTAGGGGTCTTCCTCTCTTTCTCTGACCCTCCATCTTACCCAGCATGACATCCTTCTCTAGCGACTGTTCTCTCCTGACAATATGTCCAAAGTATGAGAGACGAAGTTTAGCCATCTTGGCCTCCAAGGAGCACTCTGGCTGCACTTCTTCCAAAACAGATCTATTGGTTCATTCTTGTAGAACACCATAATTCAAATGCATCGATTCTTTTTCTGTTTTCCTTATTCATTGTCCAACTTTCAAATGCATATGAGATCATTGAAAATACCATGACTTGGGTTAAGTTCACTGTAGTCCTCAAAATGGTATCTTTGCTTTCTAGCACTTTAAAGAGGTCGTTTGCAGAAGATTTGCCTAATGCAATAATGCATCACTGATTTCTTGGCTGCTGCTTCTATGAGTGTTGATTATAGATTCAAACAAAATGAAGTCTTTAACAATGCCAGTCTCTTCTCTGTTTATCATGATGTTATTTATTGGTCCAGTTGTGAGGATCATAGTTTTGTTTACATTGAGGTGCAATCCATACGGAAGACTGTAGCCATCTGCATATCTCAAGTTGTTAATAAACCTTCCTCCAATCCTGATGCCACATTCTTCTTCATATAATCCAACTTCTCAGATGATTTGCTCAGCGTACAGATTAAATAAGTATGGTGAAAGAATACAACCCTGGCATATACCTTTCCTGATTTTAAACCATTCACCTTGTTTTGCTTGAACAACTGTGTACAGATTCCCATGACCACAATGAAGTCTTCTGGAATACACATTCTTCGCAATTTGATCCATTGTTTGTCATGTTCCACAGAATCAAAAGCCGCTGCATTGTCAATAAAGCTCAAGTAAATCTCTTTCTGATAGTCTATGCTTTCAGCTGAGATCCATCTGGCACGAGCAATGAAATCCCTTGTGCCACTTTCCCTTCTGAATCTGGCTTAAATTTCTAGCAGTTCACTGTCCATGTAGTGTTGGAACCATTTATAAATTATCTTCAGCAAAAATATGGATCTCTTCCAGCTGACTGGCCAGGTAACTGTCTTCCAAATTTCTTGGCACAGATGAGTGAGTGCCTCAAGTGCTACATCAGTTTGTTGAAAGATTTCAGTTTGCGTTCCATCAATTCCTGGAACCCTGTTTTTTTGCCAAAGCCTTCAGTGCAGCTTCTCATTGTAACAAGCACTGTTGATTGGTGAACCTTTTTCCTGATAGTGTACCAATACCGGCCCTTGAGAATTCCAGAAATCTGTAAGCATCAATTTTCCAGCTGATGATTGACTTTAGAACATTTTCTTGGTCAGTGATTAAGGATGTTTCCATTCCACACTCTGCTGTTTACTCTCGGGCTTCTAGTGATGAATCCATGTCTCATCACCAGTAACGATTTTTTAAAAAAAGGACTTAACCTTCCGTTGAGTATAAATTCAAATTTTGTTTGCAGACATCCAAACACTTTATACTCTTCCATCAGTTGTTTTGGTGCCCATCTCGCACAAACTTTTCTAAACCCAAGTCTGTCGTGGATGATTTTATAGGCAGAGCCCTGGCTGATTTGCTAATGATTTGCCACATAATCCACTGTCATCTGTCTGTTCAACAGAATCTTTTACCATGCATGCTTAATGTTGTCATCAGCCATGGACGTGGTTGGGCGTTTTAATATAACCGGAATGCAGGTAATTTTTTATTCAGGTTTATATTATCAGGAGGGACCAGTCCCTGAAGAAGGAAATCGTGCTTGTTAAAGTGAAGGGTCAGTGAAAAAGAGGAAGACCCCCAATAAGATGGACTGATACAGTGGCCGCAGTAATGGGTTGAACCATAACAATGGTTGTGAGGATGTGGCAGGACCGACTGGGCAGTGCTTCGTTGTGTTGTGCATATGTCATTATGAGTTGGAATCCACTCGATGGCACCTAATAGCAACAACATCAGTCTTATGACCACCCTGTGAATTTACCAATCCAAATAGTCCACACTTATTTCCCGCCAATCACTGTAAAGTGCTCCTTCCTTTCAGTTACCTTCCCTGATCTTAAAACTTTCAATCAGAATGTTGTACCTTTAGTCCATGATTTCCCTCATAAATATGCCTGTTACACCACCATTTGGACCATTTGATTTCACTTTGCAAAATTAGACATGTCTCTAATGGAAACCTTTTAGGTCCTTCCATGAAAATGTGAAAAATCTAAATATACAGAGGAACACCAAAAATTAGTGTAATAGAATGTTTATTGTGTGTCAATACAATTCAAATCAGTGTGAAAACAAAGTATTCAAAGAGGTGTTCCAAAGAGGGGACAGTTTAGATGGGCATTGCTGGGGACAGGGACTCTATAGTTATGGGCCATTTCCTTCATATAAACTTTTCC